GATCTTTTACATAACCATCAGGCCTATTTCTATTTGTTCTGTGGCTTGTTTGTGATGATCTTTTACATAACCATCAGGCCTATTTCTATTTGTTCTGTGGCTTGTTTGTGATGATCTTTTTATCAGTCTAGAGTCGTATTTCCTCTGTGGCTTGTTGTGATGTTCTTTTACATAACCATCAGGCTTGTTGTGATGTTCTTTTACATAACCATCAGTCTAGAGTCCTAGTTGCTCTGTGGCTTGTTGTGATGTTCTTTTACATGACCATCAGTCTAGAGTCATATTTGCTCTGTGGCTTGTTGTGATGTTCTTTTTCATAACCATCAGTCTAGAGTCGTATTTCCTCTGTGGCTTGTTGTGATGTTCTTTTACATAACCATCAATCTAGTCGTATTTGCTTTGTGGCTTGTTTTGATGATCTTTTACATAACCATCAGGCCTATTTCTATTTGTTCTGTGGCTTGTTTGTGATGATCTTTTTATCAGTCTAGAGTCGTATTTCCTCTGTGGCTTGTTGTGATGATCTTTTACATACCCATCAGGCCTAGTCATATTTGCTCTGTGGCTTGTTGCGATGTTCTTTTACATAACCATCAGGCCTAGTCCTATTTGCTCTGTGGCTTGTTGTGATGTTCTTTTTCATAACCATCAATCTAGTCCTATTTGCTCTGAGGCTTGGTGTGATGTTCTTTTACATAACCATCAGTCTAGTCCTATTTGCTCTGAGGCTTGTTGTGATGTTTTTTTACATAACTATCAGTCTAGAGTCGTATTTGCTCTGTGGCTTGTTGTGATGTTCTTTTACCTAACCATCAGTCTAGAGTCGTATTTCCTCTGTGGCTTGTTGTGGTGTTCTTTTACATAACCATCAGGCCTAGTCGTATTTGCTTTGTGGCTTTTTTTTGATGATCTTTTACATAACCATCAATCTAGTCCTATTTGCTCTGTGGATTGTTGTGATGTTATTTTACATAACCATCAGTCTAGAGTCGTATTTGCTTTGTGGCTTGTTGTGATGTTCTTTTACATAACCATCAGGCTTGTTGTGATGTTCTTTTACATAACCATCAATCTAGTCGTATTTGCTTTGTGGCTTGTTGTGATGATCTTTTACATAACCATCAGGCCTATTTCTATTTGTTCTGTGGCTTGTTTGTGATGATCTTTTACATAACCATCAGTCTAGAGTCCTATTTGCTCTGAGGCTTGTTGTGATGGTCTTTTACATAACCATCAGGCCTAGTCGTATTTGCTTTGTGGCTTGTTTGTGATGATCTTTTACATAACCATCAGGCCTATTTCTATTTGTTCTGTGGCTTGTTTGTGATGATCTTTTTATCAGTCTAGAGTCGTATTTCCTCTGTGGCTTGTTGTGATGTTCTTTTACATAACCATCAATCTAGTCGTATTTGCTTTGTGGCTTGTTTTGATGATCTTTTACATAACCATCAGGCCTATTTCTATTTGTTCTGTGGCTTGTTTGTGATGATCTTTTACAGGCTTGTTGTGATGATCTTTTACATAACCATCAGGCCTATTTCTATTTGTTCTGTGGCTTGTTTGTGATGATCTTTTACATAACCATCAGTCTAGAGTCCTATTTGCTCTGAGGCTTGTTGTGATGGTCTTTTACATAACCATCAGGCCTAGTCGTATTTGCTTTGTGGCTTTTTTTTGATGATCTTTTACATAACCATCAATCTAGTCCTATTTGCTCTGTGGATTGTTGTGATGTTATTTTACATAACCATCAGTCTAGAGTCGTATTTGCTCTGTGGCTTGTTGTGATGAAAGGCTATCAAATCAATTTTATTCATACAAAATGTATTTATGAATGAAGTTGATCTTATTTCATTGAGCCATAGTGTTTTTCCTGTGGATTGTTTCCCAACTTTGTAGAAAGGTTAAAAGCAGATATGAAAGTAATGATTGCTGTTTGTTCAACAAGTTATTGATCTAATTTAAAAAAAAAAATGTGACAGCAGTGTTTTATTCCCTTTTGATAAGTTCAAAGAACATGTCAAACATCTAGAAATCTGGAAGTGTAATTAATGTGATTTATAAACAGATAGGGTTGGATATTTTACTTAGGTGATTAGGTACAGCTGTGTATTGTTTTGATTTTTTTTGGTCCATCTACATCATTATTTCTTAGAAAAATTGTACAAGACCTTCTTATAATTAAGAGCTATATACCTCAGTGTTGACACTAGGCCTGCAATATGCTGTAATTCATTTTAAAGATAACAGGGGTTAACCCTTTCAACACTGTAGACCATAATGGACTCATCCATATCAATGCATGGTAAAGTCTACTAAAGTTACATAGGGGTGAAAGGGTTTTAAATAAAAAACCAATAGTGTGTAATAATATTTTGCCTGTGTCTTGCTGGAATGAAAGACTATCAAGTTTATTCAAATAAAAGACCTTGGTGTATGTTTAGAAATGTAAATGGATCCTTTTCAAAGTCAATTAGGTTCAAAGTGATGACATTTGGCTTGAAGATTGCTAGCTGGCACAAAAGACTAGCAAGATCTGCTATTATTTAAATTATCTGGATTTACTTTTGAGGTCAAGTCAGATACAATATTGAAACAAATAGCTTTCTCGAAAGAACCATAAGGCTTTGAGTATTGCGTTTGTCCTATAGGCCTAAGCATGCTGGGGATAAGGTTCATTAAGTTTGTTCTAAAGATCCATAAGTACCAGAACAATGGGTTCTATCATGACAAGCTTTTAACTTTATCTAACTCTATAACCTTTGCCAGTTTTCAAGGTCATATGTGTCATATGTGTTTAAAACTTGAAATTAATTCTTGTAAAGATGTACATGTATATAATCAAGAGTAATGATTTAGTTTCTGGGTTGAAGTGCTATCACAACATCACAGGAATCAGATGTGTGAAAAATGCTTCTCTACTGAGATCTAAACGGTGCAGAATTTTAAAAGGGTATTTTAGTTCAAGCATGCACCGAGACAAATATTAAAAATTAGAAAAACCAAAAACGTTTGTATATAACACCCTGTCTAGTGTCGGCCAGGGCACATATTTAATACAATTAGAAGAGTGTGAACACATGTAATCATGTACATGTCAATCCCCTTATAAGAAAGTACGTCCGTAGTGGTGAGGGTGTATGTAGGAGTGCTGGAGGTTGTATAGGTACTCTGCTTGTTAAGGGTCTCTATTTCCAACAGCTGATTAACATTGCAGTGCAGTACCACTTATATAATTAACTCATTCACCCCTATATTTCTAAACTGGACTTGCCCAGTCTTTGATTTGGTAAGGTTCAAATGTGACATTTGGGGTGCATGGGTTTAATCCCTGATATAGCTATAAAACAGAATTGGGAATAGTTTAGATTATACTCCACTCCAAGCAACTATAGAGCTGAGCAACAGCATGTAAAGTCTCTTAATAAATACACACCACATCCATCTGCCTGAGGTATCTAATTGATCCTAGGTGACCTAGCCTATGACTTTAGACCGATACACTATACAATCTTTCCTCTTTGGCCTCTAAATCATCATTTCTATGTTTGGTGTACTGACAACATACATAATCTACCAAATCTGCATGTCTCTGTCACATTAGGAAAATGTTTATAAATGCCTCTTTTTGTTTTTATTTATTACTGTGCATGCATTTCATGCGTGCAGAGAATGCTATGTGGTTACAGGTTTCCTGTCCACGTTATGTTTCAATGTAAGGGGTTTTCAGTCGATAAGGAGGTGCAGTGGCTTCTACATGTACATTATGTATACGACAAAATGTATTATTTACATGCATGCATGCTTTATTTAATTTAGACCTGTTAGATCCACCTAACCTTCAATATCTGTTAGGTTACTGTGACATCCATATATCCTAGAGTTTCAGATTAAGAAACATGTAAAAGATTTTCTATCAGTGATAATCTACACTTAACTTATCATACATAATACCCCCCCAACCAACCAACCAACCAAGTTAGGGGCGGGGGTGTATAATGGAATCACCCTGTCTGGATGTCGTCAACAGTAAATTGTCCGAAAAAATCCACCCTAACTCACAGGCAGATTTTATTGAAACTTCACTTAAATGACCAGTATATTATGAAGTTGTGCACTGGCAATTTAATTTCGAATTTCAACACTTTTTAAGGGAGTTACGGCCCTTTATGCGAAATAACTTGTCCGGAAAACTCTATCTTAATTAACTGGCAGAGTTTACTGAAACATCAGTTGTGCACTTGCATTTTTATTTCAGATTGCAACACTTTTCATCTGCAGGTGGTATTAGTTATCCCCTGGATGACAGTTCTAGCTTGTTATTGGTGTAAATAACAAAATAAATGTATTAATTACACTGAGCAAGTTACAGGATAAAGCTAATTACATAATTCTGAGAAAGAAAACTCTTATGAAAATCACAAACAAATACTAAATAATATACATGTAAGTTAAAGATCAGCTATAGGGGTAACCTTTACAAAATGGTGCTTACATGTTTTTGGTACCAGATATTGGTGTTTTACAAGGAAAATAAAAGAGAAACATGATTCAAAACAAAGCTCCTTTCTGACATCATTGTGATTGTCTGGAATATAATTAAAACATTAGATAACAATAATTATTACATAAGAGTTTCGCATCTCATCAATATCAGTACATTGATTAGCTTTCAAAATCCCAATTGGAACATGGCAAACTCTATCAAGAGTGCTAGTGCTTTGTGTTGAATTTACCATGGTCCAGTTGGTATTCATATTAACTGTAAATGCCAACTGAAAGCTATTCAATACTTACATTTACCATATTTTTTTTATATTAATCACATAGAAAATTGGAGCCTTCAAGAGAGTGGTCAAAGGTATCCAATTATTACAATTACAATGTCATGGTATGTAATGACTTCAACACATGACCAATGGCTGATATAGAAATACCATCTCAACTTGTTAGGTTAAGCAGTGGTAGTGTAAATGAGTGGTGAATCTTTTGTTTGACAGAAAGCCCTGGAGCTGTCCTCATCCAATGACACCAGCAGTTGTTCTGATACAATGGAAAGTGGGGATGAGACTGCTCGTGGGAACTGGTCGGGGCGACTGGACTTCTTCCTGTCCTGTGTGGGATATGCTGTTGGACTGGGAAATATATGGAGGTTTCCCTACCTGTGCTACAAGAGTGGGGGAGGTTTGTGTTATAACACACCAGTCCTGTAGATTTTCACTTTCAGTTTTCACAATTTGACAAAAAGAAAATGTATAAATAAAGCCAAACTAAATGAGAAGCGTATGTGTACTGGTAATGTTTTCTGTACGCCTGCCATTGGGTAACATATATTCCTAAGGCATTTTCAAACAAATTTATAAGTTTTCCCACAATAATTCCTGACTTTTATCCTTGAGACCAGTTGAAAGTCAAGGTTGTATGTTCAAGGTCACGGTCATAGCTAGATTCATTTCATGATGACTGGAAAATATCAACCAAATTTCATAAATCTTTCTCTATGTTAATGAACTATAGCCCACACTGCTTGTTTGTAGGGATTAACACATGCAACCTCAACTTTCACCATCACTCTCGCTCAAGATTTACGTAAATGTATTCCGCATGCGTGTGTTACAGATATGTTATAGGAACTGATTGTTGATATGGTATTCTTGTTAACATTTGAAACATTCAAAAATTATTACTGCACTAGATAAAGTAAAGTTTGGAAATAGTAAATGTTTTTTATTTGTCAAAATCAAGGGAAACATTTGAAAATATAGCACCCAAATATGGCTTGATGTGGAATTTCAACTTATATGTTAATAAGATTGTTGATACCAACATTGTAATGATTGAAATATTAGCATAAGACTAGCATCTTTCTGTTTCTATAGTTACCAACAAAATATGTGTGTTAATTATTCTACTCCTATATACGATATGTTTGGTGTTTCAACAGGAGCTTTTCTGATACCCTATGTGATATTCCTGATCCTGTGTGGGATACCCATGTTCTTCTTAGAAGTGTCATTTGGACAGTTTGCCAGTCTGAGTCCTGTGACCATTTGGAGGATATGTCCATTGTTTAAAGGTGAGCTCTTACATAGTGTTAACCTCTTGGCCCTTCACCACTGTTAACCATAATGGACACATCCAGATCAATACATGGTAGAGTCTACTAAAGTTACATAGGGATGAAAGGGTTCCATCTCTTCAGAAAAAGATCTCCTTACCTCATCTCCACAGATCATTTTTTCAAAGTCAAGACAAAATAAGAATTTAGAGATTTTATTATTTTTTGGTGATCTGTGTTATAACAAAGACATGAGGATACAATGACCATCAGTAACAGGGTCTGGAATTTCCTATCCTACACCTTAGAGCATGGAAGTGTCTTATACTCATAACTTCAGATGATAGCCACTATACTCATAACTTCAGATGATAGCCACTATCAGAAGGCAACTCCTGTGGAATAAAATTATTATTTATAATTATGGTATTGTAGTTCAGCGATCAAGACAATGGGTCAGATCTGCAAGTAATAAACACTCATTAGATGAAATTATTTTTAGAATTTTGGGATTTTGTTAAATATTTAAAATTAATTTTCTGCACTGTTGTTGTTTGTTGGATGTAGGTGTTGGGTACGGAATGGTGATTGTATCGGGCATCGTGTGTGTGTACTATAACATCATCATCACCTGGACCTTGTTTTACCTTTACCACTCCCTCCGTATGGTGCTGCCCTGGAGTATGTGTGACAACTGGTGGAACACGGAACACTGTTATCTACGAACAAATGCCAAAAACAACATATCTTCTCCCCAACCTCTCAACGGTTCAGCGCCTTACAACCTAACTGCAGCGGCAACAGTGGCATTAAAAGTGTCTGCAGGAAATGAGTCTAATGTATTAAAAACAACTGCAAGTGAAGAATTCTGGCAGTAAGTAATTAATAACTGTCTGTTAAACTTCAAAAGATCTCTATTTTTTAATCTCACCAGATTGTGAGCTTATGCTGTACTGCGGCGTCCGTCGTCCGTCGTTCATCCGTCAACTTTTTCTTTTGAACGACTTCTTCTGAAGAACTGTAGGACCCAGGGTCATGATATTTGGCCAGTAGGTACCTGGGATGTAGTGCTAAAAAAATCCTCATTAAAATGACCTTGACCTACTTTCAAGGTCACAGAGTTTAAATATGTTAAAAATTTCAAACAACAATATCCTAAGAACCATTTGAACTAGAGTTATGATACTTGGGTATGTTATGTAGACCAGCAGTTCGAATATTTTTTTCAGTTACAGTTATGCGATCAAAGGTCTACTTTAAATGCTAGTCAGGGGTCAAATGTCAACTTTGGTTAAAAGCTTTAACAATTTTCTTCTCAAGTTCCATAAGGCCCAGGGTCATGATATTTGGCCAGTAGGTACCTGGGATGCAGTGCTAAAAAAATCCTCATTAAAATGACCTTGACCTACTTTCAAGGTCACAGCAGTAAAATATGTTAAAAATTTCAAACAACAATATCCTGAGAACCATTTGAACTAGAGTCATGATACTTGGGTATGTTATGTAGACAAGCAGTGTGAATATTTTCTCAATTACAGTAATGAGGTCAAAGGTTAACTTTAAATGCTAGTCGGTGGTCAAATGTCAACTTTGGTTAAAAGCTTTAACAATCTTCTTCTCAAGTTCCATAAGGCCCAGGGTCATGATATTTGGCCAGTAGGTACCTGGGATGTAGTGCTAAAAATTTCCTCATTAAAATGTCTTGTGTTCTAGTTACCAAATGGTCTTGAGTTACCTATATGTCAGTTGCATGTGACAAAAGAAACAGGTGAGCAATACAGGCCCTCTGGGCCTCTTGTTATTTTTTTAATGATCTTCCAAATGTTTCCAAAATTTTCTTTCCTGATTTTGTATCAATATTGTAAAATTTCATTTGAACAGAATGGAACATAATTATATACTGTATAAGGGGGGGAGGGGGGGGGGGGAAATATTGCTGCAGTTGATATAAATTTTCACTTTTTTCTCCCTCTGCAATAAGGGTAAAATCGTCATGACAGCGAATATGAGTACACAGTTTACCAAATGTAATAATTACATGTGAAGGACTCAATATTGGAGTGGGTAAACGATTCCTGGTCTACAGTACATTCTTGCTAAACATTACCTGTTGTAGTTTTAATAATATTGTACTAGTTACAATATAATTCACATCATTAGTTCATTCTATTTTGCTCTTTTTCATTGTATCTGATAGCAAAATAAAATTCATGGCAAGCATTGGTAGCTTATATCCACCCTTGCGTGTTTTATACAGGCGTGGAGTGCTACAGCTGTCAGATGGTATAGACGATATGGGAGACCTGCGCTGGGATCTCCTCATTTGTCTCTTTGTTGCCTGGGTTGTGGTGTTCCTGTGTTTGTTCAAAGGAGTCAAGTCATCTGGAAAAGTAAGTTTGTCTTATCAAAGAATACACTGGTAAAGATCAATTATAAAATATGCCATTTCCTGACGCAAGTTAATTATTATTTAAAATACTATACACTTAGATTATCCTGGGGTCCAGTATTTCCCCAAGGGGAGAGGGTAAACTTTACTATAGTTTATATTGGGAAATAATACTTTTCATCCAGTTCTCTTCCTTTCAGTCTGAAGTAAGTCAAAATTTGATCCATGTACGTACCATCATGATAAGGGTGGCAAATGAATGGTATGAAAGTCATGGCCTGAGCCCCGGCCCCCCCCCCCCATTGGAAAGACGAAGAAATAGTGTATTTAATGGGTATATTATGTTTATTTTCAGTGGTAAATCATTCAAACTTTGTTGAGTTATAAGTATGCAAAGACAGTTTGAAAATTAATTAAAGACCCTAAGAAAAGGTAATAATCATAAGGCTTAGGGCATGTGGTTATTTCATAAAAATTAACATTTATAACTACAGTGTACTAGAGATTGAATAAGACCTTTATGGCCTTTATCTGTATAGACTATGAAAAGTTCTGTTTTACACAATCAATAAAATTAAATTTTCTATGTGACGTTTTCAATGACTAGTACAATATGTACACTGTCACCTTCATCAGACAAATGACCAGTGAAGCGTATGCACACAAAGGTGTAAAATGTGTACGAGTTGTCCACATAATCAATGTTGATTTCGGCTACGCTGTAAGCATATGTACAATATTTGTTATACGCTTAAAGCGTAGCCGAAAATGACATCAATTTTATAGACAACTGGTACACATTTTACACCTTTGTGTGCATACGCTTCATTGGTCATTTGTCTGATGAAGGTGACAGTGTACATATCGTACTAGTCATTGAAACGTCACATAGAATTTTATTGATTGTTTAAAAAAGATCTTTTCATAATCTATACTTACCAACCTGAAGAAAAAGTTAAGCTTTATTCTGTATAATACATATATAAGATGTATATAGTGTTAGTCTCTCCCTAATATCATTTCTTTTGTGAATCCACAGTTTGTATGAATCCTTTGTTAAATCCTGAAATTGAAAGCACTTAAGTACCTAGTGTGTCGACATATTAGCAGTAACTCCAGAGTAATGAGTAGAAAATGTTCAACTTAAAACATGGAATGATACACATACAGTAACTCACGGTAACACAACAGGTGATATCTACAGGGAATCTGGTACATATAAAGGGGATTGTATCCCCACTAACAACACAGAATCACTGGGTGATCCCTCTGAAGTAATTCAGGTAAAATAAGGAGAAAATATTCACCGTCAACTTAAAAATATGGAATGATACATATACAGTAACTCGGGGTAACACAATGGGTAATATCTACAGAGAAAAGGGTATCTCCAGTATAATGTTAGGGAAATCCTTAGGGTAATATCTACAGAGAAAAGGGTATCTCCAGTATAATGTTAGGGAAATCCTTAGGGTAATATCTACAGAGAAAAGGGTATCTCCAGTATAATGTTAGGGAAATCCTTAGGGTAATATCTACAGAGAAAAGGGTATCTCCAGTATAATGTTAGGGAAATCCTTAGGGTAATATCTACAGAGAAAAGGGTATCTCCAGTATAATGTTAGGGAAATCCTTAGGGTAATATCTACAGAGAAAAGGGTATCTCCAGTATAATGTTAGGGAAATCCTTAGGGTAATATCTACAGAGAAAAGGGTATCTCCAGTATAATGTTAGGGAAATCCTTAGGGTAATATCTACAGAGAAAAGGGTATCTCCAGTATAATGTTAGGGAAATCCTTAGGGTAATATCTACAGAGAAAAGGGTATCTCCAGTATAATGTTAGGGAAATCCTTATCAACAACACACGGAAACACTGGGTGGTCCCTCTGAAGTATTTCAGGTTTAATAGAGAGAAAATCTTCACCATCAACAAACAATTATTTTGTTTACATTGATTTCTCTGTTGGAAACATGCCTAAAAAATGATTACTAGCTTTGAAAACACAAAGTGGTAATATTACTTTTCAAGACTAGATGTGGACCCTGTTATATTTAATTATTTAGATAAAGCAGAACACCATGTAAACAAATTTTTCTTGCAAAAAGGGTTTAGCTGAATTTGTGTAAAATAGGTTTTGGGTATATCAGACAGTCATTGTTTTAATATTTAGTTTGTGTTTCTATCAGATCATGTTCAAAGGCAGTTGTTTGAAAGATTAGATTAAAAAAGATCATGGTTTCTTCACAATACATAAATTAGCTCATTTACCCCTGAAGACACATTTGAACTCTTCCAATTCAAAGGTTGGAATAGTTCCTTATGAAATTTCAGGGATGAATGGGTTAATTAGTTTAACGGCAACACCCAATTGCTTATCGTTGGCATCTGAAGCCTGAATATGATACAGTGTAAAAGGAATAAAATTAGTAAATGCTTTATCAGTTTCAAATGGATACTTTTCTGGTGAAAAATGATGAATACATAATTAAAATGATATTAAAAATCAGAGATTAATTGCAGCCCCTTCGCCCTTGGTTTGGATATAGTGATGGCGGTTGTACAGGGTTAAGGAAATGATAGCTTTATACTGTTATTAGTAACATGTTACATCATCTGTAATGTATTAGTTAATACAAGACTACATATGCTGTGATCGTTAACATCATACAAGACCCCACAACAAATATGTGAAGCCTAAAAAAATTAAAAGTGAAGTACCTGCCCTGAGATTATAAATGTGTGACTCACTAGGAAAACTTTCCATAATGTGCATGTATTGCCATATTCACATGCAAGTGTACAAGCATTATGATAGCTATATAGCTGTGCATGTACATTGTTTTGATAAGACATGATGAATGATGGAGCTTGCAGACAGGACTGATTATTACTAATCTGTAATACAAATAACAAAATAGGCACTGGAACCTTGCTACACAAGTCTGATATTAAATTTTCCTGCTTTATTACTGCAACATGTCTGATAATTATATTGCCGTAATATGTCTAATAACTGTTACCATAATGTGTCTTATAACTGTTACCATAATGTGTCTGATAACTGTTACTGTAATGTGTCTGATAACTGTATTACCGTAATGTGTCTGATAACTGTTACCGTAATGTGTCTGATAACTGTTACCGTAAAGTGTCTGATAACTGTATTATTGTAATGTGTCTGATAACTGTATTACCATAATGTGTCTGATAACTGTTACTGTAATGTGTCTGATAACTGTATTACCGTAATGTGTCTGATAACTGTATTACTGTAATGTGTCTGATAACTGTTACCGTAATGTGTCTGATAACTGTATAACCGTAATGTGTCTGATATCTGTATTACCGTAATGTGTCTGATAACTGTATAAACGGAATGTGTCTGATAACTGTATTGCTGTAATGTGTCTGATAACTGTATTACTGTAGCATGTCTGATAACTGTATTACCGTAATGTGTCTGATTACTGTATAAACGTAATGTGTCTGATAACTGTATTACCGTAATGTGTCTGATAACTGTATTATTGTAATGTGTCTGATAACTGTTACTGTAATGTGTCTTGTAACTGTATAACTGTAATGTGTTTGATAACTGTATTACTGTAATGTGTCTGATAACTGTTACTGTAATGTGTCTGATAACTGTATTATCGTATTGTATAACTGTATAAACTGAATGTGTCTGATAACTGTATTGCTGTAATGTGTCTGATATCTGTATATTACTGTAATGTGTCTGATAACTGTTTCTGTAATGTGTCTGATAACTGTTTCTGTAATGTGTCTGATAACTGTTACTTTAATGTGTCTGATAACTGTATTACTGTAGCATGTCTGAAAACTATATTACCGTAATGTGTCTGATTACTGTATAATCGTAATGTGTCTGATAACTGTATAAATGTAATGTGTCTGATAACTGTATGACCGTAATGTGTCTGATAACTGTATAAACGGAATGTGTCTTGTAACTGTATTACTTTAATGTGTCTGATAACTGTATAAACGGAATGTGTCTTGTAACTGTATTACCATATTGTGTGATAACTGTTACTGTAATGTGTCTGATCACTGTTACTGTAGCATGTCTGATAAGTGTATTACGGTTATGTGTCTTGATAACTGTTACCGGAATGTGTCTGATAACTGTATTGCTGTAATGTGTCTGATATCTGTATATTACTGTAATGTGTCTGATAACTCTAATACCATAATGTGTCTGATAACTGTATTATTGGAATGTGTCTGATAACTGTTACCGGAATGTGTCTGATAACTGTATTACTGTAGCATGTCTGAAAACTATATTACCGTAATGTGTCTGATTACTGTATAAACGTAGTGTGTCTGATAACTGTATTACCGCAATGTGTCTGATAACTGTTACCGTATTGTGTCTGATAACTGTTACCGTATTGTGTCTGATAACTGTTACCGTGATGTGTCTGATAACTGTATTATTGCGTAATGTGTCTGATAACTGTATAAACGGAATGTGTCTGATAACTGTATTACTGTAGCATGTCTGAAAACTATATTACCGTAATGTGTCTGATTACTGTATAAACGTAGTGTGTCTGATAACTGTATTACCGCAATGTGTCTGATAACTGTTACCGTATTGTGTCTGATAACTGTTACCGTGATGTGTCTGATAACTGTATTATTGTAATGGGTCTGATAACTGTTACGGTAATGTGTCTGATAACTGTATTATCGTAATGTGTCTGATAACTGTTACGGTAATGGGTCTGATAACTGGATTATTGTAATGTGTCTGATAACTGTTACAGTAATGTGTCTGATAACTGTAATACCATAATGTGTCTAATAACTGTAATACCATAATGTGTCTAATAACTGTAATACCATAATGTGTCTAATAACTGTAATACCATAATGTGTCTGATTACTGTATTACCGTAATGTGTCTGATTACTGTATAAACGTAGTGTGTCTGATAACTGTATTACCGCAATGTGTCTGATAACTGTTACCG